AAGTTCTCTGTGATGTGTGATTAAATAGAAAAATTCATTGTGATGTGTGATTGGAACCCTCCCTTTGCCGCCCTCTATAATATGATTTAGAGCTATTTAGATTATGCCGACACTTGAGGAAAGGAGATGGAAAGAAGTTCAACCCATGATACGTTAATCAACCCTGCAGAAAAAAAAAAAGAAAAAAAAGCGCATTGCGTAATATTTTTTGGTAGGTAAAAAGGTCAATTTTCTTCTTAGTCTGCCATTTGCCCAGTGAACGACAAGCTCTCCTTTATACACAATCGTAAACAAAATCACGTTTTCGGAAAAGCTAAACGCATTTTACGTGTTTTTAATATAGATTTATACTTTGCGGCTTCACCTCTGACGTTTTCGAATGCTTCGGTTTTCCTTTCCTTCCGTCGAATGAACTAGTTTAGACTTGGTGACGTCAATGTTTTCTTTATGACGTCAATTTTTCCAAGCATATATACATTACGTTTTTCTATAAATAACGATTACGTTTTTTCCAAAAGGATGTAAATTACAAGGATAGAATGTAGCAAACAAAATCTAAGTAATCACATGCGTAGAATAGAGCGTAGTGTTAAATGAACCCGACAAGAATTTCTCACTACGATGTAAACAGCGTTTAATTGACAGAGACCAATGTTCCTTACAAAATCAGTTAAAATGAATCGCGTGCTGTAAGCTTAACAATTGGTTCATACGTCAGCGTGCGTTCATCGAGATATGAAACACGCGAGAAGTTTGGAGAGCACGAAAGATGCGTAAGAGTTGCTCGAGGCGTAGCCAAACCTCCCAAGTGCTTCATATCTCGATGAACGCACAGCTGACGTATGAACCAATTGTTTTATAACATTTTCAATTTTTTTTTCTCGACGGATTTGTTTGCTGACGTCATGAGCGTGCACAATAGGAATATAAAGCACGCTCGCGCAATTAAATTTGATTTCACAAATTTACCAGCTATGTTATAATTAGTAGTGAATCGTAGATGTCAACCTTATGCTGGTTCGAACTGAAATACAAAACGAAAATGGAAGCTAACGTAACTAACATATCAAAAATAAAATAATACAACTGAAGGAACTATTGCTAACATTGCAATAACGACCGTAACATGGAAGTGTCAAATATAATCGGCACTTATATTGATTATAAGGAAGGCTGGAAAACGATTAATAAGCTACACAGTGTTTAACTCGGAAGATAGCTTTATGCCAAATAACCTTATATTGGAGATATGGACCTAATCAAGTGCGATTCAGAGCATACCAAAAAAACCTAACTGACCGATTTAGTAACGATATAGGTCATTTTGATTGACTGAAACGAATAACAACAGAAAAAGCCTGAGAACTAGGCTTGAAAACAAGGGATCGATAACTTACCTGGTTTACACACGCATTGGATTTGACATGATAGAATAGATGAGAAACAGTGTAGAGAGAAAGTATGACCCAATGCCGAGTAGAAGTTGACGCAGTGGAATCTACACTTGAACTGGACTAACCGGGTAAAACCTCGTGAATATATCTAATCAAAGAACACGCAAGCCAAACCTGCTCTCGTGAATATATCAAATCAAAGAACACGCTGGCTAAGCTTAGCGATAATGACTATTACCTAACGGAAGTAGCAGCTAAGGGCTGGTCAACCACGGCAGATTAAATGAGTAAGTAAGGCCTTGTTTAAAAGTGACAGTTACTTAATAACATCTACGGTAAAGTAAGTACCTGCTACAAGAACTGAGATAATAACACGTTACAAAACCAACAAAGGATTATTTACAGACATTATTTGTGTCATGAATAATAATTAATAATAATTTATTACTTATATAGCGCAAAATACGTGTGGATGATCTAATGCGCTAAATGAATGGACTTAAATGAATGGAACTAAATTTGGAAAACTTGATCTTGTTGTCTGTAAATTTGTCAGATTTTCCAATGCAGC